GTAGGGGGAAGGAGGACAAGCAAGGAAGGGATTTTAGTATTTTGACGACCGGAAGAGGCCTCCCAATCAGGGAGACTGCTTGCATTTGTTTTTCTTTTCAAAGAGGCCTACAGGGTGGATGGTACTGGATTCATCAAATGTGGGTTTACAGAATTCTTCCATGTCCTGCCTCGGGAATCAAGCTTTGGAAAATTAAGTGTCCATCAAATCAGGAGGAGGCTTGTACAGTTTCTATCCTCTTTTCCCCCCTGCTTTTTGAAAGGCTTAAGAAAAGAGCCCTTTGTTTCCTTTTCAAGGAAAGTTATACTGAAATTCATCTGTGTGTGGTATTCATGGACTTCATTTGTGCTATTCATAGGCAGCTCTAGGTTATATAGGACACTGTTGTTAAATTCTTCACCTCAACATTCAATGCAGTGTGTTGGAAAAAGGTTTTAAGACCTTTCTTTTACTCTCTCTCTTTCTCTCTCTCTTCCCACCTTCCTCTTTTTCTTACTATTTTTTCTTTTATTTCTTTTGTTTATTTATTTTTTATTTAAAGGAGAAGCTGAGGTTCCCACCATCCCCCTCATATAGATTACATTTCTTCACCACATGCCACTGAAGCTTCTCAGCATTAAGATTTGTGCCTGTCATTGCTGACATTTTCCTCGGAATTGCAAACTTTAAAATACCTTTCAGGGAAAGTTGTTTGGAATTTCATATTAATGGGATTTATGAATAAATCTCCATTTTAATGCTGACTAAGCTTTAAACATCTATTCCAGGAGAACACTATCGGATTTTTATATTTTAAATTTTAAATCACTAGACTGTGAAGGCATAAAACATTTTTATATTTGTGTTAGTGCCATGTGCTTGAGCATCTCTGTTAGAGAGTGATTTTTTTTTTTTTAATTTGGTTGACTTGAATCATTCTCAGCTGCAAGGAAGGAGATATTGCATCATCTACTTTCCCTTCTTGTGTAGACTCCTGTGTACATTATGCGGGCTTATTTATCTTACCTACAAGGACGGGTATACTGCGGCAACCTGTTGGCATGTTGCAATTTCCTTTAAACACACACACACACACACACACACAAAACCAGTTTACTTTCTTCCTTCACTTTGAAACCTTTAACCTCAGAATTTTATTTTTAATTGCCCTGAGCCCTCAAAGTCAGATTAAAAGAAGTGACACTTCCTACACGCATTTCCCAGATCTGTGTTACAGAATGTAAACAAGATGAAAGATGAGATCAGCGTCAACCCTCCAAAAATACACCCAAAACTGATAGGGAGGTGTTTCTCAAAAGGTGCAAACTTTCAGTTAGAAGATGAGTAAGTTCTGGGGCCCAATGTACAACATAGATCTAGAGTCAGTAACATTATGGTTGACTTGAAATTTGCTTAGAGAGTAGATTCCAAGTATGCTCACCCCACACACACCCAAATTGGTAACTATTTGAGGTAATGGGTGTGTTAATTAACTCGATTGTAGCAGTCATTTCACAATGTGTATGTTTGGTGTAACTATCGCGTTGTACACCTTAAATATATAGTCTTTATTTATCGATTATATCCAGTAAAGCTAGGGGAGGACCTAATGGTGGGGCTTTCAAGCATGAAACCTCTACTGTATTCTCTGTGCCTCTTGTCATTTTCCCCATCTCTCCACAGACTCATCCTACTCGGAACCCCCAGATGTGCAACAGCAATTGAACCACTATCAGTCAGCTGCCCTGGCAAGGAACAACAGCCGCGTCAGCCCTGTGCCTCTTTCTGGGGCTGCTGCTGGCACTGAGCAGAAAACGGAAGCCGTTCTTCACTGCGAATTCTGTGAATTCTCCTCGGGCTACATCCAGAGCATCAGGCGCCATTACCGGGACAAGCATGGCGGGAAGAAACTTTTCAAGTGTAAAGACTGTTCCTTCTACACAGGCTTTAAGTAAGTGGCAGGAAGAATAGCTGTGAATAGTAAGGTAGCCATCCCTGCTTTGACCCTCATCACACTGTTCCCGTACACTTTCTTACCTAAAACTCAGGGTGGCCTTGCCCTTAGGACGATATGGGGGTTGAGTTTAGTTTTTGTAAAAGGAGGCTAGTTTCAAAAGACTGATTAGGGGATTGGGAGAGGCATGATGAGATATATCAGAACAAAAGTTCAAAAATCCAAGCCAATGGGCTCCTAAGCAGTGTGAGATGTCAACAAAGGATTTTCAGGTTCAGTGTATGTAGCAGAGTTTTCTTTTTGGACAACTACCCTCCCTTTTTTGTCTTTGAAAAAAATGTGTTGGAAGGTAAAGCCAAAGTCAAGAGAGAAAATACAGCAATAGTGACTTCCTTGCTTGCCTGGTAGAAAAGTCTTTTGTCTTAAGCTAATGCTGAGAAACACTTGAGTATTAAGACCACAGTACTGCAGAGACTACATCTGAACAATCATTGAGAGACTGTTCCAGTCTAGAAGAAGATAATCCAAAGTTACCCATACTCTTGTGTATGATAGGATTGGTGAGCTTAGTTAAAGAATGGATACTTCCTATTATGTAATCTAAATGTCTTATTTTAATCTCATCACATGAGATATATTTAGGACACCGGTTACTGATGTAGAGTGTGAATCCTGACGGCACAGGTTTGAATTCTAGCTTTGCCTCTTATTGACTGTGTGACCTTGGACAAGTTACTCCCTCTTGTGTCTCCATCCCGGTATCTGTCAAATAAAGAAAATAATGGTGTCTACCTTATTGTGAGGGGTAAATGAAGTAGTGTACCTCAAGTGCTTAGAATAATGCCTGGCAGAGCCAGCAGGTGACATAGTGGTTAAGGTGCTGGACTGCCACATGACCAATCATGGTTCGAGTCCTGGACCCAGCTGCTTGAAACTCATATCAGGTACATGAGCATATATGCCCAAAAACCCGAGAGGAGAATGAAGAAGGGATTGCAATGTGGCCATTCCCCTTGGTGGGTGATTTCTCACTTTCTCTCTGTCTCTCCAATGAGTATGCACAGCCTATAGCAAAATCTTTCTCTTAAAAAAAAAGAAAAAGAATATTGCCTGGCATAAACACTAATAAGCATTATAGTGTTATTAAAAGTCATTATAATAATATAATATTAGATACTAAGTTACAGATGTAAAACTGCTCTCATCTACGACCCCTATTGCAATCAGGACCTAATCCTTTGACCACGTCAATACAAACTTGACACTGGAAATTAGATTTCATGTCCAAAGAGAACTATGATTGGAAGAACAAGTCTTCCTACTAACATCTTAGTTGCTGAGATTTGAAGAAAAATGCATTATAGCTTTGACTGTTAATTTGGCTCAGTTTTTCAGATGAATACATATGTGGTTTAGAATTGAGAGCATGACCCAGACAACAAGGACCCACCAACAGAGGGACACATTTCTATAGAGAGAAGCTCTTAGGCTAAAAAAGAAGGGGTCCTTGCCTGTTAAACTGGTCGTTTCACTATATTTATGAGACATTTAAGACTTTATAAATTTTGAAGGTTTAAAGCTTTATAAATTTTGAATGATCTGGAGGAAGAGGCTGTAGCGCTGTTCCACCTTCAAGCCAATAAAACAACTTCCTTTCCCTCCTCACCTGTCTAAGGGTCCTGTAGTCAACTAAAGATTCAAATGATTTCTCTCTTCTCAAGTATGATGAGTAATAGTTCTTAGGGATTTTGTTTCCATACTTTTAATAGGCATTTCTAATTTTCAAGAGTAAGATGTGTGAGAAATCTTATTTCTTGTCAGGTTCAGGCCTAAACTGGTACCATTTCCCACAAAGAAGTTACCCCTATATGACATTTGTTTGAGTGACCAAGGAACTTATGGTCAGTAAACATGATGAATAGGTTTGTTTTTAGCCCCAGGAGTAGGCGTCTCATATTTGGGCACCCCTGATAGGGTTGACTGGCAGGAGATGTGTGAATGAAATGACCCCCAGTTCCTACTCCTCACCTCACTCCCAACCTCTCTCCTAGATCTGCTTTTACTATGCACGTGGAAGCTGGGCATTCAGCGGTTCCTGAGGAGGGCCCCAAAGATCTTCGCTGTCCACTCTGCCTCTATCACACCAAATATAAGCGCAACATGATTGACCATATCGTGCTGCACCGAGGTAAGCTTCCTGACTATTTTCTGGAGTGCAGTAGCAGGGATAGTCTGGCTGGCTTTATAGGACTACTCCCTCAAGGTGGCTTTGCCCCGGTGCTTGTCCCTTACCTTAGCTCCTGGCAAGAAACCACAATGATAACCACAGTGACATCCCACAGGGTAAAAATACTTTTGCCAAGAGGATCTCCTCCACCTGATGAGAAGCAGAGGGGAGGGGGCTCTATAATGAACACTTCTGAAGGGCTTTCTTAGCATGAGGGATTTTTGCATTCTGCCTCCTCTGCCTCCCACAACCTTGTATAGGATGCACCTAAGGAAGAATGAGAAACAAAATGGGTGGATGAAGGCAAATGTAAATATGAAGAGCTGTATGATTGCAAGCAACTCTTGTGCGGAAGACCAAAGTGCTAATTTCCAAAAGAGAATGGGGGATTTCTTTTGAAATGGATGGAGAGAGCGAATTCTTGACAATAAAAGTGACCTAAGACATATTAGAGAACTCATTGGCTTTGGATTTAAATTCTGGCTTTAGAGCCTACTCTGTTTAATCTGTCTCTCATCTGTACAGAGAGATGATTGTGCCTGCAAGATACGGTCCAGTGGTGTTCCACAGTGGATATAGAAAGGGTGTTCTATAAATGTTGGTTCCTGCCGATAAAGTAATTCTTCTAAATCCACTTTGGTTTGCCTTTGAGTTGAGTTTGCTCTTGGCCAATTAAAACATTGTTAAACAACGGGCTTCCTCTGTACTGGAAGGAAAAATATATTTATGTAAACCTGCTTTGTCCTGAAAAGATTTGTCACAGGTGGGTGGAAAAAGATGCCTGGAATACCCACCACCAGTCTCAGTTGCTGTTTCCACTTCCTGATCTCTGTTTCTCCTTCGTTCCTCCCATCCCTCCCTCTGCTTCTTCTTCCTTCGTGTCTTCCTTCCTTTGCCTCTAACTTGGAAGGCTTTTCAGTATTTGCCACATGTACCTCAGAAGCACTGAGTGTCTCTACTGTCCTGCTGAGATGTCACTCACTCTGAAATGCTGGGTGTTTGGGGAATATTTGCAAAGAACCTTACATTATCTCTGAGCCACTAATACACTTTGTGACACGCTCATGTCCATGGCAGATTCTATAGGAATCTCGAAATGTGACTTTCACAGATTCCCCTCCCAATGGTACTCTAATGAGACATGAGATTGTTGCTGGCTAGGACGTCCCCCTACAAGCTGGGAGAAGCAGCGTTAGAACATTTAGGCAGGGATTCTTGGCCCGAGTGATCCCTCCTGGTGTTCTGCCTCAGTCACCTGGCTTCCGGTCCCCTGGTCCATGTGTTATGGTGGCTCCGTGCCCCGTCTCAGCCTGGGTAGAGGCCATCAGTAGTGCTGCTGAGCGAACAGAAACAGTGAGTCCACACTTTCTGTGGTTGCTTTTCTTCTTTTCACATATTGCTGCTTGGCAGGATCAGAGCACTGATGTCTAATGAGCTCGGTGACTTTCCTTCCTTAAGCTGAGATCTCAGGAGGAGGAGGAGGAGGAGGCAAGGAGAGATTAAACACAAAGGCCTCGCCCATAGTGTTCTGTACTTGACCAAGCACCACCTACCCACAGTCATGTCATCTTCCAACACCACCATCAGGGATAATACTATTAGTATTACTTGTATTTCTGTTTTCTGTATGTGAAACAAGAGGCTGAGAAAGATTGCATCTTTAAACATTTTATTTATTTGTATTCTTTTTAATTTCACGAAGGATTTAAGGTATCTTAAAGACATGCATGCAGAACTATAAGGTTTTTTTTTTAAATGGAGAAATTGAGACAAATGCAAAATAAGGGAAGATCAGTGACAAGTTCACCTAAAAGTATAAAAGCACCTAAGAGTTTGGATACCCAGTGGATGCCATGAAGTGCCACACACATTTGTTAACTGGGGCACTGGGGGTGGTGGGGAGAGGGTGGTGCTGCAGAATCAGCCCTGAGATTCCTACTTGCCACGAGAAAGAAGAAAGCAGAATCCATTTGATTTGGAGTTAGAATTTTGCACAGACTTCTCTGAAATATTGTTGAGAAATTTTTTAGGAATCCTAGACTCTGAAACCTGAATGTCTGCAGTGTATGATACAGTGCATGTTGAGTCCACTGTAAATACAGTAGTAAGTTCCATAGGTTCCCTGAGAGCTGGATTGACTTACCCAAAGTCACCTACCTGGTATGTAGTGAATCCAAGAGGTAGCCCCCAATCCTTTGATCCCATGTCCCATCACACTACTATTACTGGTTATTTATAGTCTCTTTTTACTTATAGAGGTAATTTTCTGAGTCCTCAAGGTCAGAAAGCATCAATATGAAATGAACTTGAGCATTTAAGGATAATAATAATTACAGGTCCGGGAGTTGGTGTAATGGCTATGTTGTTGGACTCCCATGTAGTCGATCACAGTTCGAGTCCCAGACCCAGTGGCTTAAACTCATGCTGGGTGCATGTTTGTGCATGCCCAAGGTCCCAAGGGGAGAATGGAAGAGAAGGGATTGCAGTGTGGCCATCCCCCCCTGGGGGGGGTGGTGATTTCTCACTTTCTGTCTCTCTGTCTCTGTCTTTCTGATGCACTCACATGCCCTATAGCAAAAACCTCTCCAAAAAAAAAAAAATTACAACAACAATAACAGTGCTATTACCAAGTGCTTGCTAGGAAGCAGGCATTGTACTAAGTGCTTTATGGATGTCATTTTAATGAATTTTCATAAAACTCTATATGGTAGATATGGCTGTTATCCCTGATGACAAGAAAAGAAATCAGCTTCAGAAGGATTGAGCAACTTGCCCAAGATCAAACGATTAACAAGCAGCCCACATGGGCTCGGAACCCAGGTCTGCCCATAGCTCTTTCCTTCAACCACCAGGGATCACTGTGTCTCCCCTGGGAAGATGTTACTCTGTTGAGCCTTCTAGTGATTATAGCAGCTGGGTCCAAGGTCAGGATTATCTGTGGGGCTGGAGGCCAGAGATGAGAACCAAAGGACCACTGACCCACAGACGGCAGAGTATTTCAGGGCAGTGTGTCTACCATCTGTGTCCTGGCCTGGCTTCAGTATCCATTTCAACTCATAGTGGCAGCTCAGTGGGAAGCTGATCTTGACAAGGCAAGAGACAGGGTTGGGTGTCTGCTTTGCAATTTCAGGTTGGGGTTGATCTCTGAGTACAAGACGTGGTTATTGCACCTGTGCTCTTCCTGCTCTGTGGATGAATAAACATCTTTGGTCTCTAGGGCCTGCAGTACAAGATCTTTCTGAGGCCTTAGTTAATTAAAATACCTAAGATGAAAGGCAAGAAAAACAACTTCTGTGCTGGCCCTGAGACAAAGCTACTGCTAGCAAGAATAGAGTTTCCATAGCTATTTGTCTAGACAGGTTGATATATTTAAGTAGAGAGAAAAGGGAGAACCCATTTTGCTCATGGGAAATCTGACTGATAACTAGTCAAGGATTTATGACCAGAGAAAAAGAGGGCATACAGGACCAGTGGATGGCATAATGGTTACGTTGCTGGACTCTCACGTAGTCGGCCATGGTTTGAGCCCTGGACCAAGTGGCTTAAAACTCACATCAGGTGTGTGAACATGCATGCCCTAAATCCTGAGAGGAAAATGGTGGAGAAGGGTTTGCAGCGTGGCCATCCCCTATGGGGGTGATTTCTCACTTTCTGTCTCTTTGTCTCTCTTGCAAGCACATGCACCCTATAGCAAAAATCTCTCTTTAAAAAAGTAAATAAATAAATAAAATTTAAAAAAAAAAAAAAAACAAGAAAAAAAGGGCATACTGTTTGTTCATGCATTGACTATTTGCTTGTTACATGCCACACTGTTTTTATACCTTGGGCATGATGGGTTGATAAAATTCAGTATCTTCCCCCTACCACCACCAACAGCAAGGAGATGGCCATACATATAGATTTTTTTTTTCTTTTTTGGAGAGGTTTTTGCTATAGGGTGCATGTGCTTACCAGATAGACAGAGACAGACAGAGAGACAGAAAGCGAGAAATCACCCCCTGGGGGGATGGCCACGGCGCAATCCCTTCTCCTCCGTTCTCCTCTCGGGATCTTGGGCACGCACGCACACATCCCCAGTGGGAGTTTCAGCCACTAGGTCCAGGACTCGAATCGCGGTCTACTACGTGGGAGTCCAGCGACATAGCCATTACGCTAACTGCTGGTCCCTGTATATAGTATTAAAAGACAGTAAATAATGGTTATGCAGGAGATTCAGAGTCACATGTATTTCTGCTTGGAGTAGAAAAAGATGATAAGAGGGTCTTCTTTCAAACTGAACCATAATGACATTTCAATAGGCAAAAGTCTTAAGGTAAGGCATATCGGTTTCCTGGAACTACTGTAACAAATGGTCACCCAGCAAAAACATATTCTCTCATAGCTCTGGAAGCTAGGCAGTCAGAAATGCAAGTGTCAGTAGGACTCTGTTTCCTCTGAAAGCTCAAGAGCAGAGTCCTTCCTTTCTTCTTCCTAGCTTCTGATGGCTCCTGGGATTCCTTGTCACTAGCTGGCACTCTTTGGCTGATAGCTGCTTAACTCCAGTCTCTTTTTCCATCCACACATGGCCTGCTCCCCTGTGATTGTCTCTGTGTGTCCTTTCCTATTCATCGAAGAACACCAGTTACCGGATTTAGGGCCTACCCTAATCCAATACGACTTCATCTTAACTAATTACAGCTGGAAAGACCATGTGACCCAATCAAGTCACATTCTAAAGTTCTAGGTGGACATGAATTTCTGCGGGACATGATTCAACGCACTCCACAGGGAAAGGAACAATTTAATAAACCACTGAAGTGAAGGAAGGAAGATTGCAGAATGGTATTCGATTGTCCAGGTGCCTGAGAGAATAGGAAGCATACTTGGACAAATCATGGAGGGTTCAAATACTAATGTAGATGTTTAAACTTTGAACTCGGTCGACAGATAAGACACCGGAACAAATTTTGATCAGATTACTC